GTGCTTCAAATTATATCGCGATATGGATTTTAGAAAGATATCGCCCAGCCCTAAAGTCTATTATATCAAAATTTGGTCACTGTAGTCCAAACTAAGAAAATGCAAAACAATGTTTCCACATACTCATTCAAACTGTACTTTTTCTACTCGTATTAATATGAACATTTTTCTTGTAAAACAAAGGGGGGCCTAGCAAAAAAAGTTTGGGAACCGCTGACCTAACCCCACTAACTGCATGTCTTTGGACTGTGGGGGGAAGCTGAGAGAACCCACACAAACATGGACATGCAAACGCCACACAGAAAGGCCCCGATCAGATGGAGAAGTCCTTCTCGATGTTACTGTCGCTTCTCACTGTGAAGCAATAGAAATCAGTGCAGCACCGTGCTGCTCATCTAAATGATATTAAATAAACAAAGAAACTCAGCCTGAAAATAATTCAAATTTTGACAAATTGCCTGCAGTTTTTTTTTCTTTAAATTGTAATTGTGAACAGTTTGTTGGTTAAAAGGCAATAATAACAATAATCCATCCATTTATATTATAGTAATATAATAATTTATTTTTATTGTTGTAGTAGTAGTTTGTCATTTGATGATTATTATTATTATTATTATTAATAATAATAATAATATTATTATTATTATCATTATTATTATTAGTATTCATTTTAAAGACTTGTTTAAATTCCTTAAAGATCAGTGCTTCCTTTGTTCGGACACATTGGTCAGGGGGACTTCTACACTTGTTTGTAGAGCACAAACCAGTTCATGGCTAAAAATATTGATAAATCACTCTAGCTGCTGCTGTATAAAATGTTTATACTGGACTGGCTCTTACACAATAAAATATAGCCGTAATCCTTTGAGAGAGAAGAGTCTTATCTTTTGGTAACCTTTCCAAACAAGTCATACTTGTTCAGTCTGTTTCTAACTGTACTGTCATGAACCTTTAACATGCTGAGTGAGATCTACACTGACAGTGAAAAACACTGACATCAGTGAAACTTAAGTGGACCCTAGTGGGCTTGCAGATGTAGGAAATACAATCAAACCTTTGGCTAAAGTCTTCTGCAAGTAATGAGTCATAGTGCACAATGGTTATGATTCATTTAGTGCTAAAATGGCCTGATTTAGTGGATATCTTAATTCACTCCATTGAAGTTTATCATGTCGTTTATTTGGAATAAATCTGCCCTGTGTTAGCATTGATCCTTGAGATATGTGTCAGATTGTGCTGCAGGCTTTGTGCAGCTCAAACAGGAATCCACCTTGTGGAAATGATGATGTTTTAACAGTAATATACTGTTTGTTATTTCTCACTCTTTCTAGATTCCAGTGGCGTGCAAGTCCTGCCCATGTGGTTATGTGTTTATTAGCAGGAAACTCCTTAATGCAAAGTTAAATGAGCGCTCTTCCCCAGCCATAGCAGGTAAGTTGGTGAGTTGAAGTGCCTCTGCTGTTAGAACACTTTGGTTTAATTTCCAGTGTTATTACCGCCTGTTTCCAAACGTTTTGTGTGTAAACCAAAGATAAAAACCTACAGCCAATTTGGAACCACCAGTTATTCCAACATGCATGTTTTTGGATTGCACAAAGAAGCTAAAGAACAAGTAGTGCTGTGGGTTAAAGAAAAATGTGAAAAAATAAAGTGACATGATTTGCATGGTGCTGGATTTTCGCTGCTCTTTGATTTAAAGACCAGCCTGACCCAAACTGCATTTGTACATTTATTTAT